TTTCTGACATTTTTGTTGGACAGCAACACCAACAACCCCAGCCCCCTGTATTCAACCAAGACCTTTCCTTCAAAGACCAAGGCCTGGAGTACATGCTACATCATTCTCGGTTTTGAAGAAGATTCCCCATCATCTCCATGCAGTTCAAGTAAAATTTACAGACTGGAAGAGGATTCCAGTCATGATGTTATTTCTGACATTTTTGTTGGACAGCAACACCAACACGACCCCCAGGCCTCAGTATCCAACCCAGTATCTAGATCTTATCAATCTATTCCCTGTTCTCTTCTTCTTCACAGCTGCTTCTTTTGTTTGAGGGATGTGTTTTATTCTTGTTGGTTAATTGATTCTTTTCTCTTTGGCCTTCTTTTTCTTTTTGCTTTTTTTTTAAAATGACTACTCCACCACATGTGCCCCTGCCAACTGTGAGGTTGTGAATTGCCTTAATTGGCTTGGCAGTGTGCTTGGCAATCCTTGTTTCCTTGATCACTGCAGAGTGACTTGCCTGAACTGTGAGCCAACAGCATCTCTGTATCCTTATTCCAGCAACCTGCCTTAACTGGCTTGTCAGTATGCACCGAACTTGGTCGCGCCTCCACAAGAAAAACTCCTTGGGGCGGGAGCAGGTGTTGTCCCTAAGAGCAGCTAGGAGCATTCTTCTCCCTAGTAGTCAGGATAAGTGCAATAAGCTATGGTTCTGGCCATGTAGTGCCTCTTCTATTTCACGAGGTTAAATAATAATATTTTTTGGGGGTAACTGACTATTATTCTTTCCCGCCTTCTTGCGATCATCTATTTGCTCGTGTTTTCTCCTTCGTGCATTAAGCATTCAGTCAGAACAACATCCTCTCAACCATCCAATCTGTCCTTTATGTGCGCTTCCCGAATTCGTTTCAGTCCAGTGCGCACGGGACTCTGATACAGTACGTACCTACGTACTCGTACTCGCCCTATTTTTTCCTTCGACAAACCCATCCGCTTCCGTGAGGGAAGGAAAACGGGAATACGGCATTAAGTACAGCATAATAGCCTTCGATTTTGCAACGCAGCTGCGAATGGAACCGATCCGACCCACTGTCGCCAAGCCAATCCATTCGAAACCAAAAGCAAGAGCGAACCCAACTAGATCTAAACGATTCGATCTCATACAAAAGACGCAATTATGAGGAGACGAAGCCCTCTCCCTCCAATGTCGTTATCGTTGTCGCTTTGCTGGGCTCTGTCCTTTTCGGACACTGGCAGGGGGCCTGGCTCTTGCTTCGCCTTTTCTCCCTCGCCTCCGTCGCTCCCTTTTGGTTTGATTCAACCAACGAGAACCGCAGCAAAGACAACAGTCAATTCCGGCGCTGATTCCAATTCCAAGTCCAAGCGCATCCGCGCGGCCTCCTCCTCTTCCACGGCCTTGCACCTGGCCGACGAAATCAAGGACTACCGACGGGGCCTCTCTCAGATCCACAGCGACACAACGCAGGCGCACGGCGTCCCGTCGAGCGACGGTCCGACCAGTTGCGTCTTCAAATTTGGCGGATCCTCCCTCGCCGACGCGGAGCGGATCGATCACGTTTCGAAGCTCGTTAAGGACCAGATCGAAACCCACGGATACCGGCCCCGCGCCGTGGTGTGCTCGGCCATGGGCAAGACGACGAATAACCTCCTGGGGGCCGGAGAGTTTGCGCTGGGTGAGTACAGTGTGTAGAACTTGTTGCGATGCGTTGTGAGCAATGCGGTGTAGGAAAATCGCTACTCTTCGTCCCATAGCAGTGCATTCGGGTTGCAACTGCTTGGTGACAAGAACCACACTCGCAATATAGTTTTGTTGTTACTTGATGTGTTACTTGATGTCTTGCGTTATGTTGCGTTGTATTGCGTTACGACTGGATTTCTTATAATGCACCACACATACGTAGTATGTAGTATGCGCTAGATTGAGACCATACACTACGCATGACCAATGCGCAACGCAACCCATGCTCGACACGGGATAAGGAAAACCTGATATCCAAGAAACAAGCTGAGAAAAGCAAACGAGCAGGCAAATTGAAGCATCAATCCATCAACGACCACAATCCTCAACGTCGCAACCACTGATTCACAATTGACCTTCCATCTTCTTCATTCTATCCCGAAAATACTATCCTGCCCCTTCGCATCATGCCGTGTAATGTCATGCAACAAAACACACTCGGTCGTGCCCTTACAAAACACACGCACTACGATTTCAGAGGGCCGGGTCTCTATCGACGCCATCCGCACACTGCACCACAATGCCATGGACAAGTTCGGCTTTGCCGAGGACTGTCACACCCGTTCCGACGTCGATGCTCTACTGGACGAATGCGAGCAGATGCTCACCGGCGTCAAGATGCTGAAGGAGCTTAGCCCGCGGTCTCTTGACCAGCTCGTCTCGTATGGGGAGAGGTGCTCGGTCCGAATCGTTGCGACGCGGCTCAACCAACTCGGTGTTCCTGCCCAGTCCTTTGACGCGTGGGACGTCGGGGTGATCACCGACGACAACTTTGGCGACGCGTTGCTCCTGCCGGAACACGAAGAAGCCGTCCGGAAGGCGTTCCATCGGATCGATCCGGGGGTCGTCGCAGTCGTCACCGGCTTCATTGGGCACGATCCAGACGGCCGCATCACCACGCTGGGCCGTGGGGGCTCCGACCTGACGGCCACGGCCATCGGGGCGGCCCTCAACCTCGACGAGGTGCAGGTCTGGAAGGACGTCGACGGCATCCTCAGCACGGACCCACGGGTCGTCCCGAACGCCGTTGCCCTCGACCGGGTCTCCTTCGAGGAGGCCTCCGAGCTAGCCTACTTTGGGGCGCAGGTTCTTCACCCGATCGCTATGCAGCCCGCTCGGAAGCACGGCGTCCCGGTCAGGGTCAAAAACTCGTACAACCCTGGGGCGGTGGGGACGATCATAACGGAGGAGGCCTCCTCAAAGGAACGGTTGGTGAGTTTTCTGTGTATTGGTTGGTTTCTGCTGTTTGTGCGAGAGATGCCTCTGCTTCTCGAGAGCTTTCGTGTTGCATTGTTTGGTCATTCACATTTTGTTTTTCTTTGGTTTTCCAGGTAACGGCAATCACCTACAAAAAAGGGGTGACCGTTCTGGACATTTGCTCGACGCAGATGCTCGGGGCATACGGCTTCCTGGCGAGGGTCTTCGGCGCTTTCGAGAAACACAAGCTCTCTGTTGACGTACTGGCGAGTTCCGAGGTCTCGGTCTCACTCACCCTGGACAAGAAGCAGGAGAGCTCGCAGATCAGTGCCCTCATCGAGGACCTCGAGGACTGCTCCAATCTCGTCCGCAAGGACGACTACTCGATCCTTACATTGATCACCGACGTCCATAAGAGTTCTCAGGTTCTTGCGACTGTTTTTCGGGTGTTTTCGGACCAAAACATCCAGGTGGAAATGATGTCTCAGGGTGCATCCAAGGTCAACATCAGTTTTATCATCCAGAGCAATCGACTCGAGCAAGCGATCGGGCAGCTGCATTCTTGTTTCTTCGAAGGGAAATGTGTTGTCGATGAAAAGTCGGGCGGAAACGACACTCAGGATTCGGAAGCTCCTTAGCTGCCGTGGAAATACCATGTGGTATCACGAACTGTAGCTTTCGAGTTTATGTTGCACCCGAGAGAGACTTTCTCATCTATTTGATCAGATCGGATTTGGGTTTGGTTGGTTCAAGCCTTCGTTTGGTTTGGAGACTGTGGAATGTTCATTCAAAAGAACGGCAACAGGCACGCTGCAGGCGACGAATAGTTAACAAGGAAAGCTCTCTATTGTCTTTGCAATACTTTGGGCGGTTCCTTCTTGGCTTTAACTTTTGACAGAATTAGGAGACAGGATACTAGCTTATTGCATTATACTAGGTGGCTTGGTTACCCCAAATTCTATTAGCTAATAATTCACTGAACACCTGCATCTTCGTCCGGTAAAAATCACGCCGTCCTTTAATTCCTTAGATACTTCCTTGCCAGACCGAGGTTTTCTTTTTTTATCTTGCGCTTACGACAATCTTCTCATGAGTATCTGTCGGAACGCTGTTTGCACTGCAGCTCATCCGAACCGCACGTATCACATCAACAATATGATACGATGTTACTATTTCCACTGCTGAAGTTGTTGGGCGACTGAGCAGACGAAGAGAAGAAAAACTCGATCAAAACTGTCCTTCAATTGAGGCAGCCACGATCACTACACTAAGTGCACTGGCGGGACGTGGTGCTAAATGGAAAGGGGAGGAAACAAATGGACGGATAACAGATAACGCATCACGAGTCTCGCCATGCGTCTACTCAACTCAGGGCAGAGTACGGCCAAAGTATTGAGGCGAACCATAGCGCACTTTTCATTTTGAGAGACAGGAGCAGGGTGTCATGTCACTCATCTTCATCAGTCGCTCCTTAGCGGCCTCTCGAAGTACACGAATAATTCCCTTGGTGGTTTGGTTGAATTTCTTGTCATTTCATTCTTGGGGTGGTAAATTAGTTGTTTTTTATTGTTAGAAAAAAGGGATATGCTACGAATCATCGAACCCAACCCAGGGTTTTAGGGTTCCTTGGTTGCACGGACTTCTACCTCACGCAACGCAGATAACGTAGCACCTGCGAGCAATCCCACACAGTGAGTGAATACATACGGCGCAGACCGATGAGCTCCGCCGTGCTTTGCAACGCAGTTTGACAACAAGATCGTTTCTTTATTTGAGCTTTTTCTTGGGTCGCAATTGGGCCGTGTGTCCGCACTTCTTCTTGCGGCAGTTGCTGGCCTTGGGGGGAAGACGGGCGTAGCACTTGCGGCAGATGGCCTTTTCGCAGTTGTACTTGCGGGCAAGCATAGCGAGGGAGGGATCGTAGACTCCTCCTCTCAATCGCAGGACCAAATGCAGGGTGGATTCCTTTTGGATGTTGTAATCACTCAGAGTTCGACCATCCTCCAATTGCTTTCCGGCAAAGATAAGACGTTGCTGATCCGGTGGGATTCCTTCCTTGTCCTGGATCTTGGTCTTGACGTTGTCGATCGTGTCCGATGGCTCGACATCGAGAGTGATGGTCTTTCCGGTGAGGGTCTTGACGAAGATTTGCATGGTGAGATGTTATTCTTGTTCAAGTTATCTATGTAATTTATCGGTACTGCTCGGTGACTCTTGTTACAAAACAGTTGCAAAAACCTCGTTGAAACACTAGTGAAAGAACGGGTAAAGCAAAGAAAAGGAGCCGAGTCGACGATGGCGGCTGCGTTTGCCTTGCTGGTTTAGCTGTTGTTGGCGTGGTTGTGGTTGTTCTCGATGTTGTTACTGCTGCTCCATACACTGTAGGACGGCACGGGAACGGCACACGCTTTCAGGCACTACAGCCAGACCGTTTCAACGTTGTCGCACCGTACAAACGAGTATCGCCTCAGTATTTTAGAAAAGAGGTAAGAAGTAGAATTATGTGGGAAAAACCGTGTAACCCGAGAATCTAGTCGTCGGAGTCGAGTGGAGTAAGAGTCGAACAACGGACGAAGGTGTTGTATCGTACGGTATGTATGGTAAGTAGGTATTGGATGGACTAATCGTAATTGAACCTTTAGTTACGTACCCTATCGTACCGTACGTAGCTGGTACGGGTACGAGTACCGGCCGGTACGTAACTCCGTAGAAAAAATGTTGTACTTTAATGAATAACCTTGATCGAATGAATCGACATGGGAGTCTGGCTGTCAACCGTAATGACTCCGTCGCAACCTACTGTATGGTACGTACGGTACAGCCATCTATTACAGCACGATTATGGATGGATCGAAACACGAGTAAATACGAATACGAACTGTAACAACTGATTTATTTCATCGTTTCGTTTTATTTTTTTCCTCCAATCCGAATAAAAAAGTACGGGTACTCGTACGTACCTACCTGGTACCAGGGGTCATAAATTTAGGACCCCTTCCTGGTACATGGTACCTCATACCTGGTACCGTAGCGTACTTCTCCAGAGAAAAGAGAACCAATCTTCCACGAGACAACATGTCAAGAATCGGATGGCAATCGTACGAGTACCAGGTCCGTACGTACGTCTACTACCGTACGTACTCAGGTTCCAGAATCGATAGCTATCAACATAAATAGTACTGGACGTACGATTATTGTACTAGTGCGACTGCTCCAACCGCTCATATTATGTGTCACACGGATAAAACTTATTAAACTTAAATTTAAGGTGTATCCTTTCCAGAATGCACCGAACGCTGTGAAGGACAGAGCCCATCACCACCATCATCACATTCATACGTACTCAACTACAGGTAGTTTCCACAAAAATAAAGCTCAATCTATTCGATTCGAGGTCAACAAGAAAAACCAAACCAAGACCGAAAGTGCTTCATAGCAAACGACAAAAGAGAAGCGAAATCGAAGGCACACACACCATGCAGACCGGGTTCTTTTTCAATAATATCGGTAGTATCCGCAACTCCGTGTGTAACTATGCGAACAAGGATACCGGGAGGCGGACCAGACGGCCACCCGTCTCGTCAAAAAAAAATGTGCGGGGAAACTGCTACAGGCACGGAACCAGCGGCAGCATTCAGAAACTGAAACGATCCCTGGCCATTGCCACCCTTGTACTTGCTACCGCAAGCAGCAGCAACGACCATTTCTTCGTCGACGGAAGCAATGCGGCGAGCGCCGCGATGGGGGCCCTGAAAAACATGGACTATCGATACTTTGTGGCGGGTGGAACCTGCGCCGCCTTTTCTCATGGGATCACCACACCGATCGATGTTGTCAAGACCAAGCTACAGGCCGATCCAGAGGTGAGTGCAATAATGAACTCCGGCTTGTATTGAGTGCATTGTGCTGTACTCTGTTGTATTGATACCAGAGCGTTGATTGCAATCGTATGAGCGACATCGGGTTTTCGGATTCATTCGCCTGACAGGAACCATGGATAAATAGAGGGAGCAGTGAAATTTGCTGTCTAATTTTGAGATAAAGGAAAGAAGGATGGAACAAACAAACAAATTTGGAAATGGACACTGTATGGTGGACGACGATCAGTCATTTATCGGTGTAATGTGTTTCCAGTTTTACATGCAATGCGTAAACATAACGGACAAGTTGTTGTAGAGGATCGAACAGACAAGAAGACACTCGATGGTGGTATATTCGAAGGATTCGATTTGATTCGATATAGTACAAGACGAGACCATGCTTTCGGCCTCCTGCTTGCGCACTAAACAATGCACGCTTGGCACGCAAACCTCTGCCATCCTGTTCACACCGAGGGCAAGCATCCGGTCTTTCAACGCGTCTCACATTACAAACGAAGACCAAAGCAACGAAGCGGGCGACGAGATCAGTGATTTTCGAAACCCGCACCATACCACGCCACGCTAGAATATCCCTTTGCTTTGGTGGTTGCTTATGTTCTTTTTGTTTGTTCTTTCTCCTGGAGTATTTCGATCCAGAACCATTTATAATTTTTGTTTGTTTGTTATCGTCATTGTTGCAATAAGTATGATGCCCGCTGCTTGGTCATTTATTCGTTCCTCCTAAACCCATTCGATTCTTTTGCTGCGTTCAACAATTTATTCCTCTTTTTTCACAACAAACAAAACAATCAACCCTCAAATGACTGGATCGCTTGCAACAAACCGAAAAAATCGAACGTATAAAACGCGACTTGCGTGAATCGTTGGAACGAATGAATTAATCCGTCTATAGAAATTCGAGGGCAAGGGCCTCGTTGCCGCCACGCTGCAGATTTGTCGAGACAAAAACTCCGGGGGATCGGCTGCTCTATTGAACGGGCTGGGACCCACTGTCCTGGGGTACGGGATCGAAGGCGCCATGAAATTTGGTGCGTACGAGGTGACCAAGCCCCTGTTCCTCACGCTACTGGGCGAAAGACGCAAGGTCACAGCATTTGTCCTGAGTAGCATCGTTGCCGGATCGATCGCCGCCGTCCTCTTGGTGCCTATGGAATCTCTTCGCATCAAACAGGTAACAGATGACTCCTACAAAGACGATACAATCCTAAGTGGAATCCCAAGGATCATTCGCGATGACGGATTCTTGGTAATGATGTCGGGCGTCTGGGCTATGCTGGCCAAGCAGGTCCCATATACCTTCGGAAAGCAGGTCAGCTTCGACTTAGTGGCCAAGTTTTTGTATTCGGTAACGGAAACTCTGTCGGTGTTGACCAAGACTCAGTTGAAATGGATTGTTTCGCTGCTTAGTGCCTTTTGTGCCAGTATCGCGGCCTGTCTATGCAGCCAACCTGGGGACATGATCCTGACCGATACCTACAGTAGCAGCCGTAGCAAGCCCGGAAGTTTTGGAACGGTTGTTCGTGGAATCTACGGAAAAGGTGGGCTGCCCGGATTCTTTCGCGGCACCCAGGCCCGATTGGTACATGTCGGTATGATTATCACCTCTCAACTGATGGTGTACGATCTCGTCAAGCAGCTTCTGGGATTGCCGGCCACTGGGTCGCATTAACACATAAAAATGGAGAATAATACCAAGCCATGGAACGAGCTGACTATATAGGTCCAAGAAAGCAACCTACAGTGTTCCATAAACGACACAAAGGAGTTCGTGCGAGTACTGTAATATACAGCAAGATACCTTCCCTCTGAAGCAAAAATCAAAATACTAGGTCGTAAGATGTTATAATTATTACTTAATTTAGAAAGGTATTGTTTCGCAATCAAAAAACGATTCAGACCATCAGAACAAGGCACATTCGTCAAAAAATCGACCTCTTTTTCGTTCCTACTAAGTACTGTGGTTCCCATAGTACTGTACTGAGCCTGAGTTGTTGTAGCCTTGTCTATCCTTCTTCTGTACTGTGCTGCTGAGGTGCCAAGGGACACTTKGGCCTTTGTGCCTCGATGCTACCGTACCTTTGCTGTGTCGTATGAGTAGCATGTACATATGTTAGTTACTAGGATTTGTTTTAAGGTTGCTGAAATTGAGATTGGACTACTAGGACTTGGATCTATGTATGAGAGGAAATAGTTTCTTGTTGGAATGGGTTCATGGTTTCACGGTTTTGATTTGATGTATTACTGTAAGTTGCAACAAATTTACTCCTGTGTTAAAGGGCAGGGAAGGGGGTGAATCTTCATTGTAGTGTTCCGTTACCTTAGAGTCTCATCCCACCATGGTACCTCGCTGCTGCAATACTTCAAGAATGAGGGCAAGGCTGTTCATTAGTTGGGAGGGCAAGTGGTTCAATGGTTTTTTATTTTTGCCTTGTGTCTGTCTGTCGCTCACAACACTCTCATAAGTTTTTCAAAAGGCATTGGACAAACAAATGCATAGGATTGCACAATGTCCTTGAAGAGTAGTGTACTACTACATGGCTCTCACCAATACAATGAGTATGATCAAGAAATTCAGCAATTTTGTGATCTGATTTGATCACATTTATTGGTGACCAAAATCGATCAGATAATTAAAAAGGGAGTGGTCCTTTAACCCATTCCCTCCTTTTACAAATTGAAAAACTCATTTCCTTGCATGGTTTTGTTTTTAGTTAATTGGAAACTCATTTCCTTGCATTTCACACTTTGTGAACTCATTTCCTTGCATTCTCTAAGTAATCATAATTTCACTGTCAAACAGCAGGAAACACACCAGCATCAATTAGTAGGAGTTTCTGTTGAACAACAGGAAACTACAACAATGGTGGGAGTGACTATCTACTAGTACTAGTGGTAGTAATAGTAATAGTGACATAAATCAAGTGCTAGTACTAGAAGAAAAGTGAGTTGATCCTCTTATTTAGAATCAACAAACTATGAAGTCTAAAATTGATCAAAAAGGAGAATTGCTGAGTGATGTGCGTGTGTGTGTGAATCATATGAGTCAAGTCAATTGTAGAGATCCATGGGATCAAATGAGAATAGTGAATGTAGCATGTGTATGGATCATAGATATGGATCATAGGTATTAATAATATGTATTAATCATTTGTACCATCCTAGTGGAATCTGCATCTGTGTAATGACAGGTCCAGTCTGAATCTATTGGTGGCAGTGGCAAAGTCAGTGTCATGCTATGTTCCTCCTCTATTGGCGGCAAAGTTGTTGTAGACAATGTGCTCAAGTTGGATCATCACCATCTATTGCAATATTGGTTTGTTCAAGGAGAAAGGAATCTCATCTGTTGGCAGATTCCTGGAGAAGTGTTTTGATAAAAGCCTGAGTTGGCGCTGCTGCTTATGGAATTGAATCTGAAGAACAGTGACCTCAGGGGGGATCTGAAAGCTCAGGGCTGTAGCTCTGGTGAGTAGTGCAGTGCATTCCAAGTGTTTCTTCTTTTGATGGTGAAGTTGACTGTAGACAGAAAGTTCTTGTTTCAAAAGATGCAAGTCAACACTCCAGAGTTCCAGGGTGAGACTTGGCATTTGTTTTCTGCAGCTCTACTAGCTCGGAGTATGTCAGCATCAAGAGCTTTAGCCTCTGCATGATCAGGGGCAGATGAAGAAAGAAGAATTGACGATTTGAGGTGATGAACTTGCATGTAGTCATGAAAAGTTTCGAGATAGACTTTGATTGCCTTCTGGTCGGATGAGCTCTTGGGAAAACAATTCAGAAACATCCAAGTCAAAGTAGAATCCTTGTTGATGATCACAAGACAGCCGGTACTTTAAATGTTTGTATCGTATAGAGTTGGCGGTCAAATGTACGCACCAGCCGTACCTTTTGGGCCATCTAATTACCGTGTAATGACTTATGGGATTAAAAATTTAACTTGTACTACCGGTACAGTGGGGCACGTACTGAATTTTTGAATCCCACATTCATGCCAAATAGTTTCACGCATGTGCAAAATAGTTTCACGTACACATGCAAATTTTTAATCCCATGAGTCATTACACGGTGAAAAGATAGCCCAAAATCCACGCACAGTACAAAAACACGTGGGGCATTAAGAGAGGTTCAACTCATTTGAACAGCCATAACTTTTCCCCCAACGGACGCTTAAGTATGACAAGCACATGGTTTAAAAGAGAATTCAAAGAGCTTTCTAATGGCGTGGGGGAGTACGGCGTACGATGAAAATTTATTGATATACATGTACGTATATACAGCATTCCCAATTTATGACTGGGTCGGCCGGAATCACTCCACCAATGCTATACGCTATGAACATTGAGATAAGGGCAGAGCTCTGGAGAATGAGGGCAAAGTCAATGTGTCTTTGTCCTCTATGATACATTGGGAAATCAGAGTAATTTGCATTGAGGTGAGTCCATGGATCAACTAGGCCCAAGTCCGCCATTACAGACTTGTTGTGAATTGCTAGGTGAATTCCAATCTCCCATGAGACTGATCGATAGCGCTCCCTCATGAGTATCAGCATCTTTAGTGACAAAGTGTCTCAGATCAGAGATGAAATGTTGGCAAGGATTTGGATCAGCACATCCTTCCCAAATGAAGAGACTCTCCTGTTGATGAACTCTCCTGTTGATGAAAGGCAGTGAAGCCTACTTAATTTGTAGGATGAGCACAGCACTTATAAACAACCATGAAAAGGATGTTGGTATCACTGTGACATTACAGTTGATGCTAGTAGGATCATCTGCCGCATGGATCAGTTCCCAATTTCTGAATTCTGCCTGCAAGCGAGCCAAAAGTGATGAGTCCACCATTGCCTCCCAGTCTGAAATGGGAGATTACTTTGACAGAGCTGGAGCCCCATGTGCTGCTAGTAGCTGGATTTCCAAGTTGTTTGTATGTATCACAGAGGGTAGTGCATACATGGATCTGAGTTGTGTCAAGGTTGATCTCACTGTGACCTTGGATGTCAACAGACTGGGAAATTGAATGTGCCAACGCGTTTGGAAGATCCTGAAGACAGATTCCAACTGGATTGATGGAGGACACTCTACTACAGGTAGGAGGTTCATCAGAGATGATGCCACCCACAGGTTGTTAATGGACAAAGGGAAGAGCTGGAGAAAGGCAGGCAGAATTGAGTCCAAGGGTGAACAAGGTGGAATGGAAGGCTCACAAGTTGATCTCAGATTTGTGACAACCTGAGGGGTGGTAATAGTAGAGGAGGCCTTGGGGGATGTCATAAACTTCTGCCAGAGCTTGGATGAGAACAATTGTGACGTTGACCTTGTGGAGACCCACAGGCAGTGGTCTGTCAAGGGTCACGTTTTGGGTGGGCAACAAGACACTCTGAGTTGGTAGTGCTTTCAATATGAGATACACATCAAAGAGTTCAAATGAAGAGATTATCATCAAAGTGAAAACACGGCTCCTGTCTCAGCGCAAAAAAGGACTTGTTCTCTGCAACTATGTTGTTTTTGTTCTCTGCAACTATGTTGTTTGTGGCAACAAGAGAGTTGTTCAGGGAGGTGACTTGTCATTAATGAAAGTAATGGCAGTCTTGAGCTCTATAGCAAAGGTTTCACACTCAAATATGGTTGCGTTCCAAGTCTTCAGGTCAGATTTCATAGTTTTGTGTAGATTAGCAACCCAATGCACATGGATTGGATTCACCATCCATTGCAGATAACGAATGACATTGTCTTGTTCTTGGTCTGTTGAGGATCACATGGTGGGTGGTTGATGGGACACTTTGAGGTGGTAGTCTGTTCAATATGAAATATACACTGGAGAGTGCAAAAGAGAAGATCATTATCAAAGCGAAAACATATCTCCTGTCTCAGTGCCAAAAAGGACTTGTGGTGGTTTTCTGCAACTACATTGTATGAAGCAACAAGAGAGTTTTATGGGGAGGTGACTCTGTCATTAAGGGAGGTATTGACAGTCTTGAGCTCTGTAGCAAAGGTTTCAAACTCAAGTTTGCTTGCATTCCAAGTCTTCAGATCAGTTTTCATGGTTTTGTGTAAATTTGCAACTTGGTGCACATTGATAGGATTTACCATCTGTTGCAGATCTTGAATGATGTGGTCTTGCTCTTCTATCTTATTCTGGAGATGAGTAAATTGAGTGGCCACTTTGTTGAGTGTTGATTGCTGTCCAGTGAGGCACACAGAGAACTTCTTGAGGACCCCTTGTTGATGTTCAAATTTGTCAAGGACAGTTGCTGAGGTTGTGCTGGCTTGAGTGATTTTACTAAGAAGCTGTTCAAAACAATTGATAATAGTCTGGACCAGAGAGTTGTTTGCTGATCCAATAGCCTTGTGTTTGGTAGCAAGATCCTGGTGATGTTTTTCAATAGAGGTACACTTTGCCTGGAGGGAGTTATGTTGAGTCTCTAGGGCATCAAGCTTTTGTCTGGAGCAATGAGTTGTTTGCTGATTCAAGGGCTTTGTTGTGTTTGGTAGCAAGATCCTGGTGGTGTTTTTCAATAGAGGTATACTTTTCCTGGAGGGAGTTATGTTGAGTCTCTAGGGCGTCAAGTTTTTGTGACCACTCCAAGTTTGGAGTCAGAGTAGACAGTGTGGGTTGTGAGGATTGTGATCCAGGAGCGACAAAGGTAGGCTTCTTAATCCAAGCACTTGGTGGAGGTGTTCGTGGAGGAGAAGACACAGGAGATGTCCTCAAGATAGAACTTGGAGGACAGGAAAGCCAAGCAATGGAGCCAGGAATTGAGGAGGGACTGCCAATGACTGAAGATGTATATGGCTTGGTGTGAAACTTGTC